TCAGTCGGCTCCTCTTGATCTGGCGGCCTGTAGTAGACACCAACCACCAGGTTCCCTTTGTTGCCTCTCTCTCTGATTCTTACCCATAAGCTTTCGACCTGCTCGTGGCTGTTCTTCAGGGTCAGCTCTTCGCACTGTAATAATTTCTTGATGTAAAGGGCAACGCCTCTGCCCCTCCTTCCTCACCTGTCCCTTCTGAACAGCCTGTAGCCATCAATAACTACATTCCAAACGTGGGATTCGTCCCACCAAGTTTCCGTAATAGCAATCAGGTCTCTTCCAACCAAATGTTTCTATGATTCTGTAATGGTAACAAGGTATAGGAGACATCTAATAACATGATTTTGCTCTTGATACAGATAAACAACAGCTGAGCCTAACTGTTCCTGCATGTACACCAATGAACATGAAAAATGTGGATGTTGAGAAGAAAATGCAACTTTGTTATAGCTTTGCGATTATGTGTGTGTGCTGTATTTTGCGATTATGTGTGTGTGCTGTATTTTCAAAATAAGTGTAAAGTGTGTGATCAAGTAGCATTACTGTTTACAAGTGTGTTTACAGTCTTATACAGAATATTGTTTCCTCAACAGTAGTAATTTTGTTGCACAGATACCTCTGTACATTTAAAGAAATGCTAAAGTGCGCTAGCAAATTCTGCAAAATCCTTATGATGTGGAAAAATATCAGTATTTTTCCATAGAACTCTTGGTTTATCAAGAATATTTTAAGTGCTCTTTTCAGAAAATGGGTGCATTTGCATATCTATGGCAAGGTGTCAGTTTAAAACATATCAAGTCAAGCTGTGTGAGTCATACCATGTCAGAATACAAAACACAAAGTAACTTTCAGTAAATGCTGCAGCCTGACATTATATGTCACAATCAGATACATCATTACCAAGGTAATCCAGTCTATGACAAGTTCATTATCTAAGCATTTCAATGCAGAAAATACATGTTAGCTATGGATTGCGAAGGTCTCTTCTCGTCTTAAAACCTCTGTTTCTTTGGTGCAATATTGTAAGTAATTTACATGTCATCCTCAGAACTGCCCTTGTATGGAGGGAGGTAGAATTTTCTTTACGCAAATAAACTAGTTACAACAAAACAATAAGATATAACACTGAGATAACACAACATTTGTCATACATGAAAAATCCACAGGACCAGCTATATGACACCAGGAGAGAAGTACTTAAAAAAAAAAAAAAGCTTAGCAATTGTGCATTGCCAACTATAGTTTTGCTTTAATAATACAATGAAATATTCACACAGCCTTGTTTGGGGCATTTAAGTTTGGCAGCTATTTTACATACCTACAATCTGCTTGTAGGGTCCCTGAGGCATCCACAATTCATTTAGAAAACTGAAATCAGTACCTTAATGCCTATCTTAGGCCCCATTGCCTTTATAGGAAAGAAAGGCTTCTAATTCAGCCACCTAAATAGATGCTTAGTCATCTCATAATATCTCTTGCAGTGATTTGTTGGTCCTGAAGGAACTTGGTCCTTGGTTTTCTATTAGCAAAATGACTAGACTTTACCAAAACAAAATACTATAGTATATAGGAATAATCTTATTCAAACACATCTCACTTGGCATGCTTCCAACAAAAATGCCTTTCTGTATGGCTTCAAAGACCTTATTTGGGACAGTGGGTGCTGAGTACATTACACAAAGACATTTCATTTTACATTTCACCAGTTAGACAGCCAGGGTGAAAATCTACATACTTTTTTAAAAAAAACTGTCATGATGACCATGTCTGATGATGGTTTTTAACAGCTTGCTTGGGACAATTCTTACAGTTCCAGCCATTTAAGAAAGAAAACTCCCGACAAATCTTCCCAAAGGCTCTTTTGTGAAGTGAAATTTGAAGACATTTGTCCTCATGGAGTAACTTTGACTTGAGAGAGAGACAGAGACAACATTCTTCCCAAACTTTGATTGTTTGCTTGTTCATGCTTAAGTTGATCCAACTGATCATTTGGATTTTTTTTTTTATTTGCTGTTTTGCCCATTTTAGTATAAGTTTCCTTAAATTTGGTTCTGTGAGAGCAGTGGTGGTCTGAAGAAAGGTATGAATCCAACAGTAAAAATCAATCAAAAGGACAGTCCACACAGCTAGGTATATTTCTTAGGAAATTTCCACTCTCTATGAGCATGACAAGTGTATAATTTGCAGCATGACCAACTCCTTGAAAGTTAAACTGTTTAAGTGTAGTGCTTCCCAAGCCTGTGGAAGTTAGCATGAGGCAGAGAAATGTAGCAAACAAAGTGCTGCTCAGGGGAACTGCAGTGACTTGTTCAACAGTGCTGGAGTTCCTGGGAAAAGGAGGAAGAGTCATAAATGGCTAAAGTTAGCAGGTTTTTTTTTGTTGTTGTTGGGTTTGTGGGGTTTTTTAGGGGAGATACTTAGAGGTAACAATTACAATGCATCTTTCTCTTGTTCATTACTTAGGCTGTTGTTAGATTCTTGATCCCCTCAGTATGACTACCAATGCACATGCTTCAAACCCCATTGCAGACTGCATTGTTGTATTCATGTTCCTTTTTAACACGTTAAAAATTAACTGAGTCTTTTATCTGGGTACATTTGGTACATGTGCCTGTATCTTGTACAAACTGGTTGTCCTGTTGAGTGATGCTTACTCCCACTGACGTCTGCTGTGATAAGATGGAATGAGTCACGCTAGGTGTTTGCAAAGGTTAACAAGTAATATAATCAGAACTGCAGATAAATCACAATGCCCTTCTATATGTCAGATGCTACAGAGCAAATTACTAAGAA